GAAGGGGGTGATGCTGCTGCTGCTGCTTCCGCTGTGCGATCCCAGTTGACAGATTTGCGGAGAATTTGTCAGCAGTGGGGATGTGGTGAGGCCGATGCCAGCTTCACTGGATCTGTGGGTTTAGCTCAGGGAGGCAAAGGGATAACCCGGAGAAGGCCCACACAGAACAGGGGGAGAATACACAAACTCCAAAGATCCCGCCGCGTGTAGCCTTAACGTCTATGAAGGCCGGCATGGCACACGAGGAGTTATGTGGCCAGCACCACGCCCCAGCCACCTTTGTCTCTCCAGTAATGATACCGCACGAGGTACTCGTTTGAGGCGGAGTCAACCTAAGGGATTGGTCCAGGAGCGGTTCGAATAATCGTCACTGGTGTTGGTCGTGAGAGGGAATAGAACTCGGGTGGCCGGGTTCGTAACTCGACGTGCTCACGGCTGCGCCACTGCACTCACACTCACTCACACTCACTCACACTTACTCACAATCGCTCACTCACACTCACTCACACTCACTCACACTCACTCACTCGCACTCACTCACTCGCACTCACTCACTCGCACTCACTCGCACTCACTCACACTCACTCACACTCACTCACTCACACTCACTCACACTCACTCACTCACACTCACTCACACTCACTCACACTCAATCACTCTCTCACACTCACTCCCTCTCCTCCTCACAATCACCCACTCACTTACTCACTCACACACACTCACTCACTCATACACACTCATTCACTCACACTCACTCGCACTCACTCACTTACACTCACACACTCACTCACAACAACAACACAACAGCCGCCATTCGCCACTAAGTGGCGGTGATGTCACCACGACGCTTGTGCCAGGACATGTGCACGTTGAGGCCACGTGGAGTGTGGAACGCCCGCTGGCAGGAGGTCACGGGGCAGACCCAGGTGCCACGGGTCGACTGATTGAGATGACTGGCTGATGCACCACCTGTGCCCCCTACTGTGTCAACCTGCTGTGCTTTAGCCACCCGGCGCTCCGCTCATGGTTGTGAGCGTCGCTCCTCCGTCCTCCGTTGTTGTTGGAGGGCGACTGCCTCCAACTGCCCAGTAGCATCCTTCACGAGCCTCCTCCACAGAGGCCGATCTTGACACCGCTGGTACCAGTCATCGGCAAGTCCACTCAGCTCCACGTCCTCCTGTACCACATCACTCGATCTCTTCTCTAGCCAGTGCCGCGCCCATTTAGCCCCCTCGATCTGGCCGAACAAAAGCTGTTTCGGCATGCGGTGGCTGGGCATGCGGGCTACATGACCCAGCCATCACAGCCTTGCCCGCCAGAGGAGCTCACCGATGGGACCTTGCCCAGATCTTTCAAGGATTTGTGAGCTCCTCACACAATCCAGTCTGGTTAAACCCAGGATGGATCGTAGGCAGGCCAGCCTAAATGTTTCTAACCGGCGAAGATGTTCCATTAAGGGGGTCCACGTTTCGCAAGCGTAGAGAAGGGAGGGAATGACCGTGGCTGAGAAGACCTGAAGCTTAGTGCGGAGTGACAGACCAGGTAGCTTCCACACAGCGTTACGCAACCGATGAAAAGATATTGCCGCTCGACTGATTCGGAGTGAGACCTCTGCTGTTAAACTGGAGCTGGTCATAAGCACACATCCCAGGTATGGGAAACTCTCCACTCTCTCCACAACTGCCCCATCACCGATTGGGAGTTGTGGGGGTGGAGTGTCCGATGGTTCAAAATACCCAGGAAGGTGCTTAGTTTTGGTGGGGCTGATGGTAAGGCCCCATCTCTTAGTGGCACGCTCCAGTCTCAGCAGCAGCGTCTCCAACTCCTCTGAATGAGCAGCTATTACCAAATCATCAGCATACATAACGTGGTTGAGCAATAGGAAGCCATCCCTTGACCACACCCGTGCATCGATCAGCCTCCCATTATATCTGTACCATATGGAGATTCCCCCGGTACAGCTATTGAAGGCTTCACGAACTACGTGGTCGAAATAGATGTTAAATAATGTGGGAGCCAGAGGACATCCCTGTCGCACCCCAAGATGTACAGGGACTCCAAAAGCACGAAGAACAACCCAGAGCCCAGGCCTATTGATGGTATCATAGGCCTTGACCAGGTCAATAAAGCAGAGATGTAGGTCTTGCTGGAATTCCCTACACCTGTGCTGTAGCAGACGGACAGAAAATATGGCATCTGTGCAGGACCGCCCTTTCCTGAAACCGCATTGGGGCTCCGCAAGCCTCTCCTCAGCGTGCCTGACAAGGCGATGTTGAATAATCCTTGCCAGGACCTTTCCCGGCACACTGAGGAGTGAGATGCCCCTGTAGTTGTTACAGTCTGTGCGGTCCCCCTTCTTAAAGAGGGGGACCACCAGGGCATCCTTCCAATCCTGCAGAACCCGTCCAGTGGTCCAGACTGTTGTTATGATGTCATATAGGGCAGTTTGTGCACAAACTCCACCCTCCCTCAGCATCTCGCTTGGGAGATCATCTCTGCCCGCTGCCTTTTCTGGTCTCAGACTCCGGATCGCCCTCAGTACTTCCTCAACAGATGGCACTTCAGCCAGCCACTCACAGGGGGTGACTTCTTCCAATATTTGAGGCACCGCAGCCTCAGCAGGGTCATCCTCACTTTGTGCCACGATGTTTTCCTGGCTGAGAGATTTTCCCTCCCCCAGGACCTCACAGAAATGCTCAGCAAATCTGCAAACCTGTTCCTGGGGGTCGGAGATTGGATCACCGTTTTTTCAACTAAAGATGGTAATAGGTGTGGCACTGCATGTTACTTTTTTGATGGAGTTAAATAGAGATTTGTGATCACGGGCCACTGAGGCAGACTCCATCTCCTCAGCAACCCGCGACCACCACCCATCCTTGCAGCGCTTCACGGCTCTCCGTACCTCCGAGCGAAGGTTGCGGTAAGCCTCCTCATTCTCTGACGTGGGATTCTGTAGCCGATGACAGTGGGCCTGTCGCTTTTTCTCAACCATCCTGGACACCTCCTCTGTCAGCCAGGGTCTCTGGGGAGGTCCTGACCGCGTACCCAAAGCAGACATTGCAGCCGCATGAGTCACAGTTCTAAACCTCGCCCATTTACCCTCGACATCATGAGGAGTGGGGGGCGATGCCAACCCCAGCCGCAGGCGATGATGAAATTCTCGCTTGCAACTTTCATCAGATAACCGAGACCAGGCCACTTTTGGTTGGAATGGGGTCCTGGGTGTACACCCACCACCGGAGCGGAAGAATGGGCGGCGCATCTTACAGATGACAAGTCGATGGTCAGAGGGCAGATCAGCTCCACGGTAGGTCCTGGTGTCAAGGACATGGGCTCGCATCCGCTGGTCCGTCACTATGTAGTCCAGCAGATGTTCTTGCTTGGACCCGGCATGCATCCATGATGTTGTGTGGATGCGCCAATGCCGGAACAGCGTGTTGGTAATTACAAGTCCATGGGCTGCACAAAAATCCAGCAGCCTCCTACCGTTGTTATTAAGCTGATCCGGCCCATGCCCTCCAAACACTCCAGGCCAGGTGCCAGCATCATGACCAACTCGGGCATTGAAGTCACCCAACAAGATGACTCTATCCCGAGGGGCCACTTTAGCCAGCACCTGTGACAGGAGGTCATAGAAGGCATCTGACTCATCGGCTTTGCCTTCATCCCTCCACGGATGTTCGTCTTCGGTGGGGGCATAAGTAACCACGACCACCAATCCTCGCCTCCGATTGATGGGAAGGCAAGCCCAAAGTAGCCTGGGGATTACAGCTTCCCACACCTCACTGCCACGCTCCCACGCCCCCTTCATTCTTTTGTTCAAAAGAAGAGCCACACCCTGTTGTTTGGCAGTCTCCTGCCCCGAGTAGAGAACTGTCCACCCCTCATGGTGGCAGGAGCCAGAACCGGTCCACCGGACCTCCTGAATGCCATAGAGATCCAGGCGGTACCGGTCCAGCTCCCAACAGAGGAGTGGCAGCCTCTCCTCCGCAGTGAGCGTTCGAACATTCCACGTGGCCAAACGAAGTGGCTTTTCGTTGTTTCTGGAGGAGCCCCGAGGGTTGAGATTCAATCTCCTGGCTCCGCCAATTGGGGTTTGGCCAGGGGACGTCATAGACGCTTGTCCCCCCGGGGCCTCCGGCACAAGCTTATTTGTTACATATTTAAGTTTAAGTCGTAGTTTCGTGGTAATTTTTTGAAGGTGGAGGGGTTACCAGCCCCTCGCACCCATCCAGAGCCCCCGTTTATCCCCTGTGGTGGTCACAGACGCCATGAGGGGAGGACCCAATCTGAATTGGCCCTCCCCCCACAGCACTGTCCACGACAGAGTTGCCCGTCCGGCACCGCGAGGAGGTAGGGGGTTGTTTTGCCGCACACACTCACTCACTCACACTCACTCACACTCACTCACACTCACTCACACTCACTCACTTACTCACACTCACTCACTCACTCACACTCACTCACTCACACTCACTCTGCAGAACAGAGGCGGGCGCCAAATCCATGCAGAGAGAGGAGGCGCACGGATTGTGAATCGAACCCGGGGTGCCACGATGGCTAGGAGATGTTCACGACTTCGCCTGGTGTACAGGAGGTCGCGGATCCGATCACAACCACGACGCCAACTGTATATCTGGAGTTTGCATGTCCACTCTCCCCATGGTGGTCACGTGGATTTTTTTCCCCCGGGTTTGTCCCTCCACATTTAGAAGAATCAGCATCACGCGTTCAGAGCATTTGGGCTGCTGTGGATTTCCACGCGGCGATAAGCGACCTCGCGGAGCGGTCGTTTGCAGGTGGCCAGGGGTCGCTTCTGAAAAACGAGCGATGTAGCTCAGTGGGGGGGGCCTTACCGTAGTAAAATAAAAATATAAATAAATTTTTGCAAATTCATAATTTTTGGAGGTTCCTCTCGCCGTGAGATGCGAGCATGACCCCAAACGTCACCACGCCGACGTCAACTCCACGTCGCCTCCACGCCTGTTGCGTGCGTGCAGCTGGACCTGCGAGGACTCGTGCGTCCTGCCGCCAGGGGTCGTGACCTCCGTGCGGGGGGCCGTGACCTCTGCGGACGGGGCCGCGACCTCTGTGCGTCACGCGCTGGAGGTGGCGGCGGCGCGAGCGGCGCTGCATTTGGCGCGGTACTCCTGCGTCGCCCGGAACCGGCACGGAAGCGCCACCACCTCGGCCGTGCTCAGCCTCACCACCGGTGCTCACCATCACTCAGCCACACTCAGCCACACTCAGCCACACTCAGCCTCACTCAGCCTCACTCAGCCTCACTCAGCCACACTCAGCCACACTCAGCCTCACTCACCCACACTCAGCCACACTCACCCACACTCACCCACACTCACCCACACTCACCCACACTCACCCACACTCAGCCTCACTCAGCCACACTCACCCACACTCACCCACACTCACCCACACTCAGCCTCACTCACCCACACTCAACCTCACTCACCCACACTCAGCCTCACTCACCCACACTCACCCACACTCAGCCACACTCAGCCTCACTCACCCACACTCAGCCACACTCAGCCTCACTCACCCACACTCACCCTCACTCACCCACACTCAGCCACACTCAGCCTCACTCACCCACACTCACCCTCACTCACCCACACTCAACCTCACTCACCCACACTCACCCACACTCACCCTCACTCACCCTCACTCACCCTCACTCAGCCTCACTCAGCCACACTCAGCCACACTCAGCCTCACTCACCCACACTCACCCACACTCAGCCTCACTCACCCACACTCACCCACACTTAGCCTCACTCACTCACCCACACTCACCCACACTCAACCTCACTCACCCACACTCAGCCTCACTCACCCACACTCAGCCACACTCAGCCACACTCAGCCTCACTCACCCACACTCACCCACACTTACCCACACTCAGCCACACTCAGCCTCACTCACCTACACTCAGACACACTCAGCCTCACTCACCCACACTCACCTACACTCACCCAAACTCAGCCTCACTTAACCTCACTCACCCACACTCAGCCACACTCACCCACACTCAGCCACACTCAGCCTCACTCACCCACACTCATCCAAACTCACCCACACTCACCCGCCTACTCACACTCACTCTCACCTGAGTCGACCTAGGAGATGTCCGGGTTCGTAGTGCAGTGTGCTAACCACTGCGCCACCGCTCCCAAGAAAAGACTGGAAAAAAGATGGACTAATGTGATATGGGATAATGTGGAGCTGAGTGGATTTGCCGATGACTGGTACCAGCGGTGTAAAGTTCGGCCTCTATGGAGGAGGCTCGTGAAGGACGCTGCTACTGAGCAGTTGGAGGCAGTCGGCCTCCTTCAATAACGGAGGGCAGAGGAGCGACGCTCAAAACAACGAGCGGAGCGCTGGGCGGCTAAAATACAGCAGGTTGGCACAGTAGCTGGTGCATGTCGGTCATCTTAGTCCGTCAACCCATGGCACCTGCCGGGTCTGTCCCGTGACCTGTCGGTGAGCCTTCAACACTTCATGTGGCCTCAAAGTGCACCTGGCCTGGCACAGGTGCCGTGGTGACGTCAATGATGATGGTGTTGGTGGAATTATCGTGGTGGTGGTGGTGATGATGTCACAGGTGAAGCTGTTCCTCCCCCTCCTCACCGCAAGAAGAAGGAGCCACCACCAGTTCCACCCAAACCGTGAGCACAACGCCGCCCGCTCCCTACTCACCACGTGCACCATGCACACACAGCGCGTATATACACAACACAGACACACCACTTACCATACACACATATTATTCATGCGCTCACCACTCACTCACCGCTCGCATACCATACACCGAACACTCCGAACCGCATACACACTGCTTACGCACCACTCACCCCAACGACTCGCCTACTCACCCCACACTCATCCCCCACTTACTCGCTCGCTCAATCATTCACCCAGCTCACTCGCTTACGTTACTCACTTTGCCTAAAACTGCAAAATAATGTCAATTTTTACCAAGACCCACTGAGCTACGAAGCTCTTCATCAGAAGCGACTTGGCTACAAATGATAGCTCAACGAAGCGGCTTATCACGTGGACATTTACAGCCGCCGAATACTCGAAGCGCGCTTTGTCGATTCTAAATGCGGAGGGGACAACCGGAGGGCCCGGAGGAAAATCCACGCGACCACGGACAGAGAGAACATTCAAACTCCGAATATACAACAGGCGTCAGGATAGCGATGGAACCCACGTCCTCCTGTATACCAGGCGGGGCACTTAACATCCCGCCACAGTGCCAGCAGAAGATGCTGCTGTGAGTCCTTCCGATTGAGTACTCTACGGGATCAGTTTTCAGATTTAGCACGGGGAGAGTGAACACGCAGGCTCCAAATATTGCAGGCGGAGTCATCCATTTACTCGCTCACCCTCATTTGGTTTAACACGGAGGAGGCATTCGCGACCAATGTCATTCATAATAAGGGTTTTTTTTTTCACTAACCCACGCAATCACTCACCCTCATTCACTCACCCACCCGCCCGCTCATCCACCCTCATTCACTCACTCACCCGCCCGCTCACTCACCCACCCTCATTCACTCACTCACCCGCTCACTCACCCACCCGCTCACTCACCCACCCACTCACTCACCCACCCGCTCACTCACCCACCCGCTCACCCGCCCGCTCATTCACCCGCCCGCTCACTCACCCGCCCGCTCACTCACCCGCCCGCTCACCCACCCGCTTACTCACCCACTCACTCACCCGCTCACTCACCCACTCACTCACCCACTCACTCACTCACCCACCCTCATTCACTCACCCACCCGTCACTCACCCACTCACTTACCCGCTCACTCACTCACCCACTCACTCACTCATTCACCCACCCACTCACTCATCCGCTCACTCACCTCTGTTCCACCTGCACCCTCCCCCCTCAGGGTATCGCGTCATCCAATCACGTCGCGGATCCTGTCGTCGACTCCGCCCCCTCCACCCCCTCCGCCTCCTCCTATTGGTCGGATAAAACCACGCGTGGGGTTCGTATCAGTGACTATGTGAACCGGTGCTGGGGCTCTCCTAGGTCGACTCAGCCTTAAATGAGTGCCTTGTGTGGTGTTCGGTAAACATCAGTACTGGGGAGACAAAGGCGGCCAGGTGTGGTGCTCGTGATTCCATCCCCTCGTGCGCCGTGCCGGCCTTAACAGGTGCTCACTAACAGCACTTCTGTTACGGCTACATGGGGGATCTTTGTTGTGGGCGAGTGTGTTTGTGAGCATCTGTTGGTGAGTGTGTGAATGGGTGGGTGGGTGTGTGTGCAGAAGGTTCCCCATAGCAGGGCAGTGTGCTTATGACCGCCTCCGGTTTGGCAGCAGAGGTCTCACTCCGAATCAGTCGAGCAGCATTATCTTTTCATCTTCTGCGTAATGCTGCGTGGATGCCAGCTCGTCTATCACTACAACAAAGCTCCGGGTCTTCTTAGCCACAGTCATGTCCTCCCTTTGTTACGCTTGCGAGACGTGCAGCCCTCGAATTGAACCTCTGCGCCGGTTTGAAATATTTAGGCTGACCCAGCCTACAATCCATCCTGGGTTGAAACTAGACTGGACTACAGTATGAAGAACTCACAGATTCTCGAGAGATCTCGACAGAGTCCCATTGGTGAGCTCCTCCAGCAGGTGAGGCTGCGTTGGCTGGGTCATGTAGCCTGCATGCTCAGCCACCCCATGTCCAAGCAGCTTCTGTTTGGCCGGATAAAGGTGGCTAAACAGACACGGCAAGGGCTAGAGAAGAGATGGACTGATGCAGTACAGGAGGATGTGGGAGCTGAGTGCACTTGCCAAAGACCAGTACCGGGGGTCTCAAGATCGGCCTCGGTGGAGGAGGCTCGTGAAGGATGCTCCTGAGCAGTTTGAGGCAGTCGCTCTCCAACATCACAATAACGAGCGTAGCGTGGTGCTGGTCTTTATAAGTGCTCGCTATCAGCACTTGCTCCTAAAGTATGTTAAAGCTATAAGGGGGGGGGGGATATTTGTGTCCATGTGTGTCTGTGTGTGTGCGCGCGCCAGGGTGAGGAAGTCCATGTCGGAGCGTGATATCCGCCAGTCGAAGGACGCCCTCATCCAGGACCTGGAGAAGAGACTGCATATGAGATCCACTCCGCGACAGGCATCCCACCTCCACCACAACCACCCCACTAGCACCACAACTACCTCCACCGCACCACCCCACCACCACCACGGCCACCATGACCACATCCGCCTCCACCAAACCACCACACCACACCACCACCACGGCCACCACACCACCACACCACCACACCACACCACCACACCACCACCACGGCCACCATGACCGCAACCGCCTCCACCACCTCCACCACAACCACGACATTAGTACCTCCACCACACCACCACAACCACCACCACCACAACCACCACTACCACCACACTACCCAACCACAACCACCATAACCATAACGACACCTCCACCACCTCCATCACAACCACCTACAACGCAACACGACATTAGCACCTCCACCACACCCACCTCAACCACCTCAACCACCAAACCACCATCACCACCATCACCACCACCATCACCATCACCACCACGACTACCACCACAGTGGAGTGACTCCAGGTCAGGTCGGTGCGTGATCCGTCAACCCTCCCCCCCCACCCCTCCCCCCACCCCTCCCCCCCACCCCTCCCCCCACACAGCCGCGCTTGTCGCACGAGGAGAAGATGGCACGGCGACTGTTTGGGAACAAATACGAGGTAAGGCGCAGCAGCACACAGCCAGCAGCACACCACACCGTGTCCACCATGCAGCACACCACACCGTGTCCACCACGCAGCACAGCAGCATACAGCCAGCAGCACACCACATCGTGTCCACCACGCTGCAGAGCAGCACAAACCACACCAGCACACCACGCCATGTCCACCACGCAGCACACCACATCGTGTCCACCACACAGCAGCACACAGGCAACAGCACACCACACCGTATCCACCACGCAGCACGGCAGCACACAGCCAGCAGCACACCACACTGTGTCCACCATGCACGACAGAGCAGCACACCGCAGCACACCACACAAACTGTGCACACCACTGACACATAACGCCACCACGCCAACACAACAGCCGCGCAACAACAGCCGCGCAACAACAGCCGCGCAACAACAGCCGCGCAACAACAGCCGCGCAACAACAGCCGCGCAACAACAGCCTCGCAACAACAGCCGCGCAACAACAGCCGCGCAACAACAGCCGCGCAACAACAGCCGCGCAACAACAGCTGCACAACCGTCCTCTCTCCCGTGGTTTCTGTTCCAGGACTCAGTCACGTCTGACACAGACATCGCCAGCAACCCGGGGGCCAGGTGACCCCTGCGTGACCCTTGTGTGACCCCCACGTGACCCCCACCTGACCCCCGCGTGACCCACGCACGACCCATGCATGATCCCGATGCGCTGTGCTACGAACCCGGTGACGCAAATTCGCAAGTTCGATTCCTGCACATAGCCACCAACACCTTGGCGATTATCTGAACCGGTCCTGGGCATCTCCTAAGTCGACTGAGCCTCAAATGAGTACCTGGTGCGATATGTAAACACCGCCACTAGGGAGACATGCGGCCAGGTGTGGTCCTGGCCCACCCACCCCCTCATGCGCCATGCCGGCCTTCATATGTGCTCACTAGCACCACTTGCGCCAACAGTCTGTTAAGGCTATAGGGGGGATCTTTGTCTTTGTGTGCAGTGTGCCCGAGTGCCCTCTGACCCGGCAGTACTACCGGCCTCACTTTGTGCAGCCGCTGAGCGACGTCACGGGCAGCGAGGGGGATCTCTGCCGCCTCGACTGCAAGGTACCACCCCCCGCCCCTTTCCACCTCACCCCCGTGTCCACGGCAACCGGAGTGACGGGGGGGGGGGGTCACATGGGTCTCCAGGGCAATGGGAGCAATGACACTGGTCCTCCATGGTGATGTAGTACTCATCTCCACGGCAGTGGAGGTTAATGCAAGTCTCTGCGGCAACAGTAGCCCTCTTCTTGGTTCTTTCGGTAAAGTCACGTAGAATGAGAATAAAACAATAAAACAAAATAAGACAATTAAATTTCTCACGACGTTTCGGCCACAACACAAGTAGCCTTCTTCAGGTGAAGGTACAGAACTGTCGGGACAACAGCGCTTCAATGAAGCGCTGTTCAATGAAGCGCTGTCGCCCCGACAGCGCTTCATTGTTCTGCGCGTGATAAAGGTCCCCCGTATAGCTAAGGCTATACGGGGGACCTTTATCTCTCAGTGGGCCTTACCCAGTAAAATAAGAACAGTTTGTAGTTTAGTGTGCAAGCGAGTCACATCATGCCACATGGATCTGTCCCAGTGACCTCCGGCCAGAGGCCAGCCTTCCACACTTCACACGATAGCCTCCAAAGTACACCTAGGCTGGCGCGAGCGACGCGGCATTATTGTCACCGCCTGGCGGCGAACGGCGAACCGTTGCTGCCGCCCGTTGCCGAGCGCGCACTTGCCCCAGCGGCCCGCGCCGGCTACGCGGGGGACCTTTGCCTGCGTCTATGCGCGCAGGTTACGGGGCTGCCGGAGCCGGAGGTGGCGTGGAGCGTGGAGGGCCATCCGGTGAGCGGCCGCACCACAGGCTGCCGGGCGCTGGTTCAGGAGAGCGGCCTGCACTCGCTGCTGCTGCAGCTGCGGCCCGGAGGCACCGGTGGCACCGGTGGCTTGCTGGTGATGTGCGTGGCACGCAACGCGGCGGGGGAGAGCGAAAGCAGCGCACGCGTCACAATCACGCGTACGTACGTGTGTGATTGTGACGCGTGATTGTGACGCGCGCGTGTGGGAGAGAGGGCGAGCGAGCGCGAGTGAGAAAAAGTGGGTGTGCAGTAGTTAAGGGAGCGGTAGTGTAGTAGCGGTTAGCGCTACGCTGTGCTACGAACCCCGGTGACCCGAATTAAATTCCCGCTCATGTCCAACACCAGTGACGATTATCTGTACCGGTCCTGGGCCTCCCCTAGGTCGATTCAGCGTCAAATGTATACCTGGTGCGGTGTGTAAACATCACCACTAGGGAGACAAAGGCGGCCGGGCGTGGTACCGGCCACCCACCCCCTCGTGTGCCGTTCCAGCCTTCATAGGTGCTTACTAACAGCACTTGCACCAACAGTCTGTTAAGGCTATACGGGAGATCTTTTTTTTTGTGCAGCAGTGACTAAGGCGGTGTGTAAGGTGAGTGTGGTGAGTGTGGGGAGTGACTAACGCGGTGTGTAAGGTGAGTGTGGTGAGCGTGGTGAGTGACTAACGCCGTGTGTAAGGTAAGTGTGGTGAGCGTGGTGAGTGACTAACGCGGTGTGTAAGGTGAGTGTGGTGAGCGTGGTGAGTGACTAACGCGGTGTGTAAGGTGAGTGTGGTGAGCGTGGTGAGTGACTAACGCCGTGTGTAAGGTGAGTGTGGTGAGCGTGGTGAGTGACTAACGCGGTGTGTAAGGTGAGTGTGGTGAGTGGGGAGTGACTAACGCAGTGTGTAAGGTGAGTGTGGTGAGCGTGGTGAGTGACTAACGCCATGTGTAAGGTGAGTGTGGTGAGTGACTAACGCAGTGTGTAAGGTGAGTGTGGTGAGCGTGGTGAGTGACTAAGGCAGTGTGTAAGGTGAGTGTGGTGAGCGTGGTGAGTGACTAACGCCATGTGTAAGGTGAGTGTGGTGAGTGACTAACGCAGTGTGTAAGGTGAGTGTGGTGAGCGTGGTGAGTGACTAAGGCAGTGTGTAAGGTGAGTGTGGTGAGCGTGGTGAGTGACTAACGCGGTGTGTAAGGTGAGTGTGGTGAGTGTGGTGAGTGACTAACGCGGTGTGTAAGGTGAGTGTGGTGAGCGTGGTGAGTGACTAACGCAGTGTGTAAGGTGAGTGTGGTGAGCGTGGTGAGTGACTAACGCGGTGTGTAAGGCGAGTGTGGTGAGCGTGGTGAGTGACTAACGCGGTGTGTAAGGTGAGTGTGGTGAGTGTGGGTGGTGACTAACGCAGTGTGTAAGGTGAGTGTGGTGAGCGTGGTGAGTGACTAACGCGGTGTGTAAGGTGAGTGTGGTGAGCGTGGTGAGTGACTAACGCCGTGTGTAAGGTAAGTGTGGTGAGCGTGGTGAGTGACTAACGTGGTGTGTAAGGTGAGTGTGTTGAGTGTGGGGAGTGACTAATGCAGTGTATAAGGTGAGTGTGGTGAGTGACTATCGCAGTGTGTAAGGTGAGTGTGGTGAGCGTGGTGAGTGACTAACGCGGTGTGTAAGGTGAGTGTGGTGAGCGTGGTGAGTGACTAACGCGGTGTGTAAGGTGAGTGTGGTGAGCGTGGTGAGTGACTAACGCAGTGTGTAAGGTGAGTGTGGTGAGCGTGGTGAGTGACTAACGCAGTGTGTAAGGTGAGTGTGGTGAGCGTGGTGAGTGACTAACGCAGTGTGTAAGGTGAGTGTGGTGAGCGTGGTGAGTGACTAACGCGGTGTGTAAGGTGAGTGTGGTGAGCGTGGTGAGTGACTAACGCCGTGTGTAAGGTAAGTGTGGTGAGCGTGGTGAGTGACTAACGTGGTGTGTAAGGTGAGTGTGTTGAGTGTGGGGAGTGACTAATGCAGTGTATAAGGTGAGTGTGGTGAGTGACTATCGCAGTGTGTAAGGTGAGTGTGGTGAGCGTGGTGAGTGACTAACGCGGTGTGTAAGGTGAGTGTGGTGAGCGTGGTGAGTGACTAACGCGGTGTGTAAGGTGAGTGTGGTGAGCGTGGTGAGTGACTAACGCAGTGTGTAAGGTGAGTGTGGTGAGCGTGGTGAGTGACTAACGCGGTGTGTAAGGTGAGTGTGGTGAGTGTGGGGAGTGACTAACGCAGTGTGTAAGGTGAGCGTGGTGAGTGACTAACGCGGTGTGTAAGGTGAGTGTGGTGAGTGTGCTGATTGACTAACGCAGTGTGTAAGGTGAGTGTGGTGAGCGTGGTGAGTGACTAACGCGGTGTGTAAGGCGAGTGTGGTGAGCGTGGTGAGTGACTAACACGGTGTGTAAGGTGAGTGTGGTGAGTGTGGTGAGTGACTAACGCGGTGTGTAAGGTGAGTGTGGTGAGTGTGGTGAGTGACTAACGTGGTGTGTAAGGTGAGTGTGGTGAGCGTGGTGAGTGACTAACGTGGTGTGTAAGGTGAGTGTGGTGAGTGTGGTGAGTGACTAACGTGGTGTGTAAGGTGAGTGTGGTGAGCGTGGTGAGTGACTAACGTGGTGTGTAAGGTGAGTGTGGTGAGCGTGGTGAGTGACTAACACGGTGTGTAAGGTGAGTGTGGTGAGCGTGGTGAGTGACTAACGTGGTGTGTAAGGTGAGTGTGGTGAGCGTGGTGAGTGACTAACGCGGTGTGTAAGGTGAGTGTGGTGAGTGTGGTGAGTGACTAACGCGGTGTGTAAGGCGAGTGTGGTGAGCGTGGTGAGTGACTAACACGGTGTGTAAGGCGAGTGTGGTGAGCGTGGTGAGTGACTAACGCAGTGTGTAAGGTGAGTGTGGTGAGTGTGGTGAGTGACTAACGCAGTGTATAAGGTGAGTGTGGTGAGCGTGGTGAGTGACTAACGCGGTGTGTAAGGTGAGTGTGGTGAGCGTGGTGAGTGACTAACGCGGTGTGTAAGCTGAGTGTGGTGAGTGACTAACGCGGTGTGTAAGGTGAGTGTGGTGAGCGTGATGAGTGACTAACGCGGTGAGCGCGGTGAGTGTGGTGAACGTGGTGAGTGACAAACGCAGTGTGTAAGGTGAGTGTGGTGAGCGTGGTGAGTGACTAACGCGGTGAGTGTGGTTAGCAGCGAGGGAGGTGGAGTCACCGCCTCACTTCGTGATGCCGCTGAGACACGTGGTGGCCGAGGAGGGATCGCCCTTCCGCCTCGAGGTCGTCGCGACCTGCCAGCAGGGTCACGGCAGGGAGGACGGAGGGGAGGACGGAGGGGAGGACGGAGGGGAGGACGGAGGGGAGGGGCCTCTCCTCACCTTCTCCTGGCTCAAGGACAAGCAGAGCGTCCACCCCTCCGAACACACCCGGTGAGAGCACTCTCCTCACCTACGCTCTTCACCCTCACTCACCCACTGCTCACCCACACTCGTCACCCACACTCGTCACCCACACTCGTCACCCACACTCGTCACCCACACTCGTCACCCTCCGCTCACCCACACTCGTCACCCTCCGCTCACCCACACTCGTCACCCACGCTCGTCACCCACGCTCGTCACCCACGCTCGTCACCCACGCTCGTCACCCACGCTCGTCACCCACGCTCGTCACCCACGCTCGTCACCCACGCTCGTCACCCACGCTCGTCACCCACGCTCGTCACCCACGCTCGTCACCCACGCTCGTCACCCACGCTCGTCACCCACGCTCGTCACCCACGCTCGTCACCCACGCTCGTCACCCACGCTCGTCACCCACGCTCGTCACCCACGCTCGTCACCCACGCTCGTCACCCACGCTCGTCACCCACGCTCGTCACCCACGCTCGTCACCCACGCTCGTCACCCACACTCGTCACCCACACTCGTCACCCACACTCGTCACCCACCCACCCGCTCATGCATGCTCACTCACCCACACTCACCCATCCACTGCTCACCCACGCTAACCCACACTCCTCACCCACGTTCCTCACCTACGCTCACCCACTCCTCACTCATGCTCACCCACCGCTGACTTACACTCCTAACCCTCACTCACCCACGCTCAACCACTCACTCACCCACGCTCAACCACTCACTCACCCACGCTCAACCACTCACTCACCCACACACACCCACACACACTCACCCTCGCTCAACCACTCACCCTCGCTCAACCACTCACCCTCGCTCAACCACTCACCCTCGCTCAACCACTCACCCTCGCTCAACCACTCACCCTCGCTCAACCACTCACCCTCGCTCAACCACTCACCCTCGCTCAACCACTCACCCTCGCTCAACCACTCACCCTCGCTCAACCACTCACCCTCGCTCAACCACTCACCCTCGCTCAACCACTCACCCTCGCTCAACCACTCACCCTCGCTCAACCACTCACCCTCGCTCAACCACTCACCCTCGCTCAACCACTCACCCTCGCTCAACCACTCACCCTCGCTCAACCACTCACCCTCGCTCAACCACTCACCCTCGCTCAACCACTCACCCTCGCTCAACCACTCACCCTCGCTCAACCACTCACCCTCGCTCAACCACTCACCCTCGCTCAACCACTCACCCTCGCTCAACCACTCACCCTCGCTCAACCACTCACCCTCGCTCAACCACTCACCCTCGCTCAACCACTCACCCTCGCTCAACCACTCACCCACCCACACACACTCACCCCCACTCAACCACTCACCCACACACACTAACAACAACAACAACAACAACCGCCATTCGCCACTAAGTGGCGGTGACGTCACCACGACGCTTGTGCCAGGCTATGTGCACCGTGAGGCCACGTGAAGTGTCGAACGCCCGCTGGCAGGAGGTCACGGGGCAGACCCAGGTGCCACGGGTCGACTGACTGAGATGACTGGCTGATGCACCACCTGTGCCCCCTACTGTGCCAACCTGCTGTGCTTTAGCCACCCGGCGCTCCGCTCGTTTTTGTGAGCGTCGCTCCTCCGCTCTCCGTTGTTGTTGGAGGGCGACTGTCTTCAACTGCCCAGTAGTATCCTTCACGAGCCTCCTCCACAGAGGCCGATCTTGACACCGCTGGTACCAGTCATCGGCAAGTCCACTCAGCTCCACGTCCTCCTGTACCACATCACTCCATCTCTTCTCTAGCCCGTGCCGCGCCTGTTTAACCGCCTCGATCCGGCCGAACAAAAGCTGTTTCGGCATGCGGTGGCTGGACATGCGGGCTACATGACCCAGCCAACGCAGTCTTGCCTACCGGAGGAGCTCACCAATGGGACCTTGCCCAGATCTTTCAAGGATTTGTGAGCTCCTCGCACAATCCAGCCTGGTTAAACCCAGGATGGACCATAGGCAGGCTAGCCTAAATGTTTCTAACCGGCGAAGATGTTCCATTAAGGGGGGGTCCACGTTTCGCAAGCGTAGAGATGGGAGGGAATGACCGTGGCCGCGTAGACCTGCAGCTGAGTGCGGAGCGACAGACCAGGTAGCTTCCATACAGCGGCACGCAACCGATGAAAAGATATTGCCGCTCGACTGATTCGGAGTGAGATCTGTGCTGTTAAACTGGAGCCGGTCAAAACCACACTGCCCAGGTATGGGAAACTCTCCACTACTGCCCCATCACCAATTGGGAGTTGTGGGGGTGGAGTGTCCGATGGTACAAAATACCCAGGCAGGTGCTTAGTTTTGGTGGGGCTGATAGTAAGGCCCCATCTCTAAGTGGCACGCTCCAGTCTCAACAGCAGCGTCTCCAACTCCTCCTCTGAATGAGCAGCTATTACCAAATCATCGGCATACATAACGTGGTTGAGCAATAAGGAGCCATCCCTTGACCACACCCGGGCATTGATCAGCCTTCCATTATATCTGTACCAAATGGAGATTCCCCCGGTACAGCTATTGAAGGCTTCGCGAACTACGTGGTCAAAATAGATGTTAAATAATGTGGGAGCTAGAGGACATCCCTGTCGCACCCCAAGGTGTACAGGGAATGGCTCTGACTCCCGGCGACGTAGTTTTACCCGGGCCCGCTCACCATCATGAAGGTCCTTAATGATCGTGAGCAGGGGGTCATGGACTCCAAAAGCATGAAGAACAACCCACAGCCCAGGCCTACTGATGGTATCATAGGCCTTGACCACGTCAATAAAGCAGAGATGTAGGTCTTGTTGGAATTCCCTACGCCTCTGCTTTAGCAGACGGACAGAAAAATGGCATTTGTGCAGGACCGCTCTTTCCTGAAACCGCATTGGGGCTCCGCAAGCCTCTCTTCAGCGTGCCTGGCAAGGCGATGTTCGATAATCCTTGCCAGGACCTTTCGCGGCACATTGAGGAGTGAGATGCCCCTGTAGTTGTTACAATCTGTGCAGTCGCCCTTCTTAAAGAGGGGGACCACCAGGCCATCCTTCCAATCCTGCGGAACCCATCCAGTGGTCCAGACTGTTGTTATGATGTCAGAGTGCAGTCTGTGCACAAACGCCACCCTCCCTCAGCATTTCCCACTCAACCACATACACCCACACACACACCCACTCACACACACTCACCCACACACACACTCACCCACACACACTCACCCCCACTCAACCACACACACACACACTCTCCCACACACATCCACACTAAACCACACTCACCCCCACTCAACCACACTCAACCACACTCACCCCCACTCGCCTACACCTTCCTCTACCCCCCCACGCGCCCCCCTTCCTCAGGATGCACGAGGACGGCTGTGGCTACGCGTGCCTTGTGATTGGCCGGGCGGGGTCACGTGACGCAGGCTGGTACTCGGTCTCCTGCCGCTCGCGCTCCGGGCTCCTGGCATCGTGCACGGCGCGCGTCACCGTGCAGCCCCGATACGGTGACCATGGCAACGCCACGCCCCCCCCATCGCAACGCCACGCCCCCCCATCGCAACGCCACGCCCCCCCCCCCTCCTCGCATAACAACGCGCGCTTTCTCACTGCCGTGGCGACACATTCCCTCTTTACTCTTTGGTTCTATTGGGTAAAGTCACGTAGGTGAAAATAAAATAAAAAATCACGACGTTTCGGCCACAACACAAGCGGCCTTCATCAGGCGAAGGGACGAGACTGTCTGGATGCACAGCCTTTCATCATCGCTATGGCGACGTGCGGTGTGGGACAGTGCCGAAGCGCGTGACCTCTACTCGCTGCCTCCACTCTCATGGTGCGGCCAATTACTGTGCAAGCCCCCTGGAGGTCACCCCCACCCCCCCCCCCCCCCCCATACAATCCCCACGTGTACCCCTAGGGCCCATGTGAACACCTCTAATCCGAGCGCGGTGGCCCAGCGGTAGCGCGTTCCCTGCTTAATGCCGCGGCTCGCGGGTCGAATCCAGTGGCCGCCCTGCTGAATACTGCGGTGTGTATTGGCCCTTAAACTAAACATTGCTCCATCTCCTTCACGCAGTGCTCGTTAAAGATCCCGTGACGTCGTTCGCGTGAGTGGGGCTATTGTGGCGGCGTCACAAATCCACATTGCGCTAAATATTGAAAACCGACCCCAGTAGAGCGCTCAATTGCAATGACACACAGCAGCACTCTCTCTCTCTCTCCCAGCAGCAGACTCATTCCCCAGGTCCCTTTTACAAACGAGACTCCTCCTGTACGCTGGTCTCTTGCGTTCTCATCCGGTCACTCGGCCTACACTTCAACTCGTGTCCTTCCGTGTGCGTCTCTCCCCCACGGCCGCGTGCAGGGCCGTCACCCACGTCCCCGGAGCCCCTCCCATGGGGGTGCGAGCGTCGCAGCGGAGGGCGCTACGCCGCGCTGGGGGGGCTCGGAGCCGCAGTGCGAGCCGCCTTCGCCCCCCGCAATGCCCTCTGAACCCCCCCCCCCCACCCCACCGCCGCGTCCCCGCCCCTAGACGCACGCTGTCCCATGGCGCCTGTCCTGCGAGGACGATGATGACGATGAGAGCCATGACAGTCACGAATGGTTTCCGATGGAGCTGCCCTCCTATACTCTCTTCAAACGCATACGACGGGGCGGCCCCCCGTGGAAGCTGTCACGCGGCAGCGTTCGTCTGCTGCCAGTGAGCGGGGCGACGATTGCTGCTGGGGCGTCCACTCCCGGTGGAGTCACTTGGCAGCGCAATTTTTCAAATTTGCCTCTTTTTGGATACGTGACGGCGGCACACGGTGGCCTATGTCGAACGGCATCGCGAGATCTTTTTAACGTCCGCTGTGAGTGAAGCAGGCGGCGCGTGATGGTATTGTTCCGGTTGATACGCGCAACTAGCGGTATTAACCATGGCGGCCGCCGGACTCCAACCACAAACACCTCCCAACTGCTGGGTCACTGCCCCAAATCGACTCCGAATTGTGGTCCCTGAGCTCGCGATGGGCGAGGGAGGAGTAGCGGGAGGGAGGGGAGAGGAGGAGGGGGGGGAGAGGGAAGAAGGGAGGGAGAGGAGAGGGAGGGGGAGAAGAGGGAGGGAGGGTAGATGAGGAGGAGGAGTAGAGGGAGGGAAGAAGGGAGGGGGAGGAGAGGGAGGAATGGGGGAGAATTAGAGGGAGGGGGAGGAGGAGAGGGAGCAGAGAGGAGAGGAAGGGTGGAGAGGGAGGAGGAGAGGGGTGGAGGGAGGACAGGAAGAGGGAGAATTAGAGGGAGGGGGGAGGAGGAGAGTTAGGGGGGGGGGGGAGAAAATTACAAATATTACATAGAAAACATAGGGGAACATAGACATGGAGTAAGGAGAGGGGGTCGAGAGAGAGGGAAGGGGTAAGGAGAGCAGAACGTGAAATCTTTTGTGAAATCTTTCATTTAAAAAAGGGGGTGGGGGGGGGGGTTTACATAAAGCAAAGCATTGAAAAAAACGAAATGATGAACGAAGCAAAGTGCCGAATACACCGAGCATCTTCTTGTTTCCTCTGATCGTAAAAAAAAGAGAGAGGGGAGGAGGGAAGAGGAAATGAAAGAGGAAGGAGAAGAGGGAGGGGAGAGGGAGGAGAGGAAGGGGGTAGGAGGGAAAAGGGAGGGGGAGGAGGAGATAGATGAGGGGAGGAGGCGGATGGGGGAGGAGGAAAGGGGTAGGAGATGGAGACCTGCAGGGTGGGGGAAGGGGCAGAAGATGCAGCAGCCACGGCAGCTAATCGAGGGCGATATAGCCAATGTGTTCCAGCCACTAGAGGCCGCTATGTAAGTGCTATTTTGTCTACTCTTCAACACTGGCCAATGCGTCTTGCTTTACCCCACCACGTCCACGCAACGAACGAACCCTGCCGATCCTCGACTTCACGGCGGTGGGGGTTAGGGGTGGGGGGGTAGGGAGCCCATTAACAGGGCGGCTGCTGCTTGTTGAGGAGGGGGGGGGAGAAACTTGACCCCCCCCCCGCCCCTCAATGGTTTCAGCTGTCGTGCCGGGAGTTGGAATGGAAACGGCGACCTCTGCATCACCAGGCAGGGGCGCAACTATGGCGGGGGGGGGGGGGTATTCAGCAGCGTCATGCGAAATCTAGACGGCTACAAAGAAAAATCCAAGAACCGTAAATGCCAAAAAAAAGTTGCAATGGGAAAAAAAAAATTCCAAAAAATACAGCGTACAATAGTCACGTGACTGGCTGGCGTTTGTGACCGAACAAGCACACTTTTTTTGCCAAATGACATGCGCATGAAAGCAAGACGCATGACAACTTGAGTATTGTTACCTTTAAATATTTGTATTAATACTCCCACCGTGAGACGGTCTTCCTCAACCCAATACACGGTGCAAGTGAAATAATATAATGCTATAGCCTACATTGTTTTCATACGGGTTAAAACATCCGTAACTATTTCAGGAAAAGTGAGTCGGGAGGGGGGCCCAGTCCTAGCTTGCATTACCCCCCCCCCCCCCCCCCGTTGAAATATGTAGTTGCGCCCTTGCTCAAAAGGATGAATATATAGGCGACGTTTCGGGAAATGGGCCTTCTTCAAAGTGTCTAAAAAACTACCAGGCAAGGCCCACCGATCAATATAGCTCTTTTTCAGAAGCGACGAAGTGGATTGTGGAAATTTATTGCAGCCACATACTCTAAACACGTTTCATTTCAGTCTGCCATGAAAAAGGCCCATTGCCCAAAACGTCGGCCATCATGTACATAGGCGTTTTTTCCCCTGAAAGCAACGAAGATGTTGACACGGCACACGGTCGAGTCGGTTGGCCGAGATCTTCTGCTGCTTCTCAACACAGGGTGCTGCCCTGCTCGCTGAGACTTTTCAAACGGATTCCTCAGCCCGTGTCACGCAGGGGAGGATTGTTCGGATTTATTCTGTTTGAGTTCGACTCCACTCATAAACCGACTGTGGTTCACTCCATCGCCCCTTGGTGCTGCAGCTTTCTGGTGGAACGAGTGGTGATGGGGGGGGGGGGGGGGCGTGGCGATTGTGTCAGTGATGAAGTTGCGATGTGGTCTAGCGTTGGGGGCACCCCCAGTGGCAGCTATCCCTGTGCAGTAGCCGGCTACCAGGCGTGGGCTATGCCTGCCGTGGGTGTGTAATCACAAACGTGTAATTTGCGGCGTTGTTTTCAAACTTAGACCGTGACGCTGGAACAACATACTGGCCGACTCTCGCAGACATCAGGAAATTATTTCCCTCCCACCGAGCGAAGCAGGGGCGCGCGGTGTTGTGTGTACGGTTGAGACGAGCCCAGTATTAACCAGGGCGGCATGCCGGAATAGAACCGCCAACGTCTGCAACAAGCGGCGCGTGACGCCGGGCTGCCAGGGCGTTGCGTCCAACTGCGGTGAAGCTGCTGGCGACTCGCAGCACCGTGCAGCACACCCAGGTTCAATCCCCGACTCGGGCGTCGCTGTGTGCGCCCGCGCCCGCCCGCCCTGTTCTCTAGTGAGACCGTGAGGGTATGACGAGTTTCGCCGTCCTGCAATGGGGTTTTCCTCCTCCCATAGCTAAACTTACACGCGCAGTTCCACTGCGTATCGGAAAAACAACACCGCTCGGCCAAACCGCCGATGCCGACATTCCCTGCAAATGTCACCAACTGGGATCGCACAACAGCAGCAGCAGCAGGCAGCAGCACCACCACCATCGCCCCCCCTCCCCCCCGGTGTTGCGAGGAAGTTGGCGGGACGACCCCTACCCTGAACACGACGAGAGCCTCGAGTGCCCGGCGAGGCCACCCCGTGTGAACGAGCGGAGCTGGACGCCTTTCGAGTGCCGTTGCGCCGTGCGTCCCTCGTGCGCGTTTCGGGATCGTGACGCGTCGGCACGAGGTCCACATGAAAAGGCAGCGGCTGCTGCTGCAGCTGCTGCAGGAGATGGTCGAGGTTGATGGTATGGGGGGGGGGGGGGGGTGTTAGGGGTCCCAGTGCACGGAGGGGGGGTTCTGGGGGGGGTGTTAGGGGTCCCAGTGCACGGAGGGGGGTTCTGGTTTGCAATCGGAAGGACGCGTGTGCCAAACCAACGTTGGTCCAGAGTTGTGTTTGCTCAGAGCAAATGCTGCCGAAATTATCCACTTCCAGTAGGCAAGGTCGGGTGTGGCGGGGGGGTAAAACGTGTCAGGTTTTTTTCCATTTAGAGGCAAATGGAAGCAGGAGGCGCGGTGTCCGTGTGAACCCGTGGGCTCAGACACTCCGCCATCTCCTGGCGAGCCAGGGCATAGCTCCTCCTCGACACCCACGGGGGGGTACGAGGGGGGGGTACGGGGGGCGGGGGGGTACAGGAGGGAGGTTCATGACATTTGTGCGATCCATCATCCCTCTCTGCAACCTCCACAACGCTGGACTCCGAGGCCCCATTTGTCCTCTCAACCGCACACGAACCTCACGCCCCCCCCCCACCCGGTCACGCCCCCCCCTACCCGCTCAGTCACCCCCCCCCACTCACCCGCCGCCCCCCCCCCCCCCCACCACCCGCCCACTCACACTCACCGCCCCCCACCCGCTCACTCACGCTCACCCGCACTGGAAACTCGCTCACCGCGGTGCTGCCTCAGTGTTTATTATTCACAACGTGACCCCGACCCCCGCCCCGACCGTGACCCGCCGGCCATGACCTCCTGGCCGCGACCCCCCCCCCCCCCCCAGCCGTGACCCTACACCAGGTACTTGAAGCTGAACGTGTGGTCGCACGAGAGGCGCCGGCCCCGGCAGCGGCAGCACAGCTCCTGGCGGTGCGGGCGGCTCAAGTCCACGCCGGGCGCAGCCACAACGCCAGCTCCAGCAGCACCGACCGCACCAGCAGCCGAGTCGGCCGCACTAGTGCGGACACCGCCACTCCGCCTCTACATGGGGGTGGGGGGGGGTATGTGAGAGACCATGATAAAGATGATAGGAGAGAAGTGGGGGGGGGGGGGTATGGAGAGCAGTCAGATGAACAATTGTAGACCCCCCCCCATCATCCCCTTCCCCCAACCACCCCCCACCTTGAGCACGATTTCCTCCACGCGGTAGGGGTTGTACTCCTGCGAGC